TTTCAAGAAGTCCCATTTATTAATTGTCAATTCTCAGTGTCAGTGCTACTGGTGTTATGTTCAGGAAGTAGTCTCCTGTAGCTATTCGTTCAAGGGTACCTCCCTCTTTCTCTTCTCCCATCCAAGTACTAAGTACTAACCAGGCCCGACCCTGCTTAGCTTCCGAGATCAGACGAGATCGGGCGCGTTCAGGGTGGTATGGCCGTAGACAGGGTGGTATGGCCGTAGACCCCTCTTTCTCTTCTAAGAGGTTCAGTGTGACTGGATTTATGTTGAAGTCTTTAATCCATTTGGACTTAAGTTTTGTGCATGGTGTTAGATATGGATCTATCTGCAGTCTTCTACATGCCAGCATCCAGTTATGCCAGCAGCATTTGTTGACGGTGCTTTCTTTATTCCATTGTACAATTTTAGTTTCTTTGTAAAAAATCAGGTGTTCATAGGTGTGTGGGTTAATATCAGGGTTTTCAATTCAATTCCATTGATCTGTCTATTTTTGTGCCAATACCAAGCTGTTTTCAGGACTACAGCTCTATAATAGAGCTTGAAGTCAGGGATGGTGATGTCTTTGGACAGTCCTTTATTGTACAGGATTGTTTTGGCTATCTTGGGTCTTTTATTTTTCCATGTAAAGTTGAGTATTATTCTTTCAAGATCTGTGAAGAATCGTGCCAGTATTTTGATAGGGATTGTACTGAATCTGTAGATTGCTTTTGCTAAGATTGCCATTTTCCCAAAACAATACAGAGAAACCCTGTCTCATAAACCCCCCCCAAAAGATTGCCATTTTCACTGTGTTGATCCTACCTATCCAAGAGCATGGGAAGATCATTTGATTTTCTTGTATCTTCTTTAATTTTTCTTTTTCTTTTTTTTCCCTTCAAGTTAGAAACAAGCTTGTTTCTCCCTCCTCTCCTCCCCCAACTTTCCCACTAGGACCCCCAGTTCCCCACCCAATCTACACTCTGATCCCCAGGGAGGGTGAGGCCCTCCATGGTGGATCTCCAGAGTCTGTCATTTCATCCAGGGCAGGGCCTAGGCCTCCCACAAGAGTCCAGGCTAAGACAGAATTTCTCATTGTGGGATGGGCACTCAAAGTCTATTTGTACACCAGGGATAAATACTACCCAAGGCCCCATAGATTACCTAGGGACTCAAAGTTCTTGCTATACAGGTTTTTCACTTGTTTGGTTAGCATTACCCCAAGGTATTTTATGTTGTTTGTGGCAATTGTAAAGGGTGATGTTTCTCTGATTTCTTTCTTAGCTCATTCATCATCTGTATATAGTAGGGCTACTGGTTTTTTTTCAGTTCATCTTATATCCTGCCACTTTGCTGAAGGTGTTTATTAGCTGTAGGAGTTCCCTGGTAGAGTTTTTCAGGTCACGTATATAAACTATCATATCATTTACAAATAGTGAAAATTTGATGTCTTCCTTTCCAATTTGTATTCCCTTGATCTCCTTTTGTTGTCTTATTGCTCTAGCTAAAACTTCAAGTACAATATTGAAGAGATATGGAGGGAGTGGAAGTCTTTTCTTGTTCCTAATTTTAGAGGAATCGTATTGAGTTTCTCTCCATTTAATTTGATGTTGGCTGTTGGTTTACTGTATATTGCTTTTATTATGCTCAGGTATGTTCCTGTTATCCCTGTTCTCTCCAGGACCTTTATCATGAAGGGGTGTTGGATTTTGTCAAAGACTTTTTCAGCATCTAGTGAGATGATCATGTGGTTTTTCTTTTGCAGTCTGTTTATATGGTGAATTACACAGATATTCATATGTTAAACCATCCCTGCATCCCTGGGATGAAGCCTACTTGATCGTGGTGGATTATTTCTCTGATGTGTTCTTGGATTCAATTTGCCAGTATTATATTGAGTATTTTTGCATCAGTGTTCATGAGAAATATTGGTCTGTAGTTCTCTTTTTTAGTTGTGTCTTCATGTGGCTTGGATTCTAAGGAAAGAGTTTGGCAATAAACCTTCTGCTTAAATTGTGTGGAACAATTTGAGGAATATTGGAATTAGCTCTTCTTTGAATTTCTGGTAGAATTCTGCACTGAAGCCATCTGGCCCTGGGCTTCTTTTGGATGGGAGACCTTTGATAACTTCTTCTATTTCATTAGGGGTTATAGGTCTGTTTAAATTGTTTATCTGTTCTTTATTTCTTTTTGGTAAGTGATATCTATCCAGAAAATTGTCCATTTCCTTTACATTTTCAAATTTTGTGGAGTACAGGTTTTCAAAGTATGACCTGAAGATTCTGTGGATTTCCTCAGTGTACGTTGTTATGCCCCCCTTTTCATTTCTGATTTTGCTAATTTGCATGTTCTCTCTCTGCCTTTTGGTTAGTTTGGATAAAAGTTTGTCTATCTTGTTGATTTTCTCGAAGAGCCAACTCTTTGTTACACTGATTCTTTGTATTGTTTTTTTGTTGTTGTTGTTTCTACTTTATTGATTTCAGCCCTCAAGTTTGATTATTTTCTGGCACTTACTCCTCCATGGTGAGTTTGCTTCTTTTTGTTCTAGAGCTTTCAGTTGTGCTGTTAATTCTCTAGTGTGGCTATTGTCTAGTTTCTTCATGTGGGCATTTAGTGCTATGAACTTTCCTCTTAGCACTGCTTTCAAAGTGTCCCGTAAGTTTGAGTATGCTGTGTCTTCATTTTCACTGGATTCCAGGAAGTCTTTAATTAATTTATTTCTTCAGTTGCGTGTTGTGTTGTTTAATTTCCATGAGTTTGTAGGGTTTCTGCAATTCGTTGTTGTTGTTGAATCCTAACTTTAAAGCATGGTGGTCTGATAAGATACAGGGGATTATTCCAATTTTTTTGTACCTGTTGAGATTTGCTATGCTGCTGAGTATGTGGTAGATTTTAGAGAAGGCTGCATGTGGCGCTGAGAAGAAGGTATATTCTTTTGTGTTTGGATGGAATGTTCAGCTACATCTATATTGTAATAGACAAAAGATGACTAGAAGTGTCCCATGTCCTGGCTTCTATGTCTTTACAGAAGTACAAACTATATCATGAAGTTTTTAAAGTGGGCAAAGAGGAGCCAGAAGCTGAGACAGAGCTAAAAAGTGACGTCATAGACATTTCTGTTAAAATGCCTTTTTTAAATAAAACAGGACTTTATAAGATAGTTCCTTTCAGCCAGGAGGTAGTGGCACACGCCTTTAATACCAGTACTCAGGAAGAAGAGGCAGATGGATCTCTGTGAGTTCAAGGCCAGCCTGGTCTACAAGAGTGAGTTCCAGGACAGGCTCCAAAGCTACAAAGAGAAACCCTGTCTCAAAAAACAAAACACCAAACAAACAAAAAAAGATAGTTCCTTTCAGTTTCTATGAGCTGTCCAGCTTTGAGATACTTAAAGAGACTGAGTCATAACAAACTCTGTTAGTTTTATCTAAATGTACATATAACAATTAAATGTTGTCACTGTTCATTCACTGATTGTCCTTAAGCATAAACAGCCACGCTTAAGGTAAAACCAATAGGATACAGGGTGAAGAGTAGTCAATGTTTCAGCCCTTGTCCCTTTAAGTCAGCTAGGTCCCAGGGAAACAGGATACGATAGAACACCTCCAAAAGGGTTCTAAAGTTGTAGTCTCGCATCTTCCTGACCAGAAACTTCAGAGATTGGACTCTAACCAGAGTACATTCTACAAAGTGGAGACCCATTACAAAGTGGCCTTACTGCTTCCAGGTGGAGCTATATGGTCAGCAATAGCTTGATCCATTTCAGCATATGATGCAATTGCTAGAGTCCAGGGGCTTCTCCAAAGTCCATAAAAACAATGCTTAAGGCTCCTCAGCCAACCCTTACAAAACAAAGTTAATTTCTGTGTGTGCGCAGGTGTGTGTGCACAGGTGTGTGTGTGTGTGCAGGTGTGTGTGTGTGTGCAGGTGTGTGTGTATGTGCAGGTGTGTGTGTGTGTGTGTGTGTGTGTGTGTGTGTGTGTGTGTATGTGTGTTGGCCAGAAATCAACCTTGGGTGCCATTCTTCAGGAGCTATCCTCCTGAATTTTCAGGATTTCTCACTGGGGCATGCTGATTAGGCTGAGATGCCTGGCCATCAAGTCAGTGGTGCCCCTGCCTCCACCTCCCTACAGTGGGGATTACAGATATGCACCCCTACACCTACGCCTGGCTTTTGATACGTATGGGTGCCATGAGTGGACTCAGATCTCTATTCTTGTGCAGCAAGCTCTTAGTGATAGAGCTATCACCCTCATCCCTGCATCTCAAACTTTAAATCTCATCTCCTTACGTACGACCAGATCCCAACTCAGAGGGCTCCCACAGCACACCCTCACAAGCAGGTGGTCTTCCCTGCAGTGCTACAGCACATCTCTAGGTTCCCTACTTTCCCAGCCTGGAGGCGCCTAGCTCATGGGCAGAAGCAGCTCTGTGGGCCAGGACACAGACATTCAGGGTATGTAGAGCTGAGCCTCTGTGGTCACAGAATCTGAGCTCACTAATTTCACATCGACTCAAAAAGCAAAACCAAACTTCCCTAACTAGACAAAGCAACTTCTCCTAACTGTTCTGCTCTCTCACAGATGAGGTTTGCCCACTGTGCTTCTGTCCATGGCATAGATTCCTCATTAAAATTTTTATATCAGTTCTAGTCTAGTAAATACTTTACCGGTGTCTTTGGCTTGTCATCCCTGGCAAGATATATGAGACACTCCAGCCTCCTCAAACACGTGCATAAAATCCACACAAGTTATGAAGTCACACACACCTATCTGACTAGAGTTCAACATATACATCACATAACCTCTCTTCCTCCAGAAACACACATACAACTCCCCAAAACACTGGATATTCACATAAACTACCAAAGAACATCATATATATAAACCATGCCCCACCACAATCACATAGGATAGCTTTTAAGCTCCTCCATGCAGTTCTTCACATACATATCAATTCTAATGTTTTACACAAAGACAAACCACCACAACCCCACATGCAAGCATGTGTCTTTCTTCTACCTTCAGAATGCACGTGAAGAAATGGAATCCAGGTGACAGGAGCAGCATGAGGGGATCGGCCACATAGATTTCATCTCAAAGGAAGTGTGTGCTTTAATGGTCCCTAAGATCGCTACAAGAAGGCAGTCTCATCACCAGCCATTTTAGCACTCAGTGTCAGCTACAGACAGCATCTGCATATGAAGGACAGAGGACAGAGCATGAGAGCAGTGACAAAGCAGGCGGCAAACAATCTAAGTCAAAACAGCCTTAATGACACATCATTTCAACTCCAGGTAACACACAGCATTGGGAGAGAGAGTGTCTGGAGACCTAGTCTTTTTTTATGTTTTCTTTATTTACTTGAATTTAATTTGACATTCCAACCACAGTTCTCCCTCCCACCCCTAGCCTAGTCTTTTTATGTGTGTAGGGGAGGGTTGTGGGGACATTGGTTGTGTGTGTGTATGTGTGTGTGTGTGTGTGTGTGTGTGTGTGTGTGTGTGTAGGCCACTATCATGTATCTTCCTGCATCGCTCTTATTTTTGAGGCAGGGTCTCAATGACCCCAGAGCTCACTGAGTGGCTAGGCCTACCTAGGCCAATCTGTCTCCACAGGGTTCTCAGTGCTGTGATTACAAGTGCACGTTGCCATGCACAACATTTTACGTAAGTACTAAGCATCCAAACTCAGGTCCCATGTGTCTTAGTCACTATTCTATTTCTGTGAAGAGATACCATGACCAAGGCAATGCTTATAAAATAAAACATTTAGTTGGGGCTTGCTTATAGTTTCAGAGGTTTAGTCCATTATCATCATGTCAGAGAGGATGGCAGAGAGCATGGTAGCTCTGGGAAAGGAGTCAACTAGGGTGGGAGAGATAGATGACCCCATTTCTTCCCGTTATGCCCTACCTCCAGAAGAGTTTGATCAGTTTCTAGTAGTTCCTCTGAGTATGAATAAACCCTTAAACATGGGCTGTAGAGATGGCCCCATGGGTTTAGCTCTTGCTATACAACCTAATTAATTAACCACATAACCCTGTGTGCAGTAGGGTACATGCCTTTAATCCCAGCTCTCCTATGTGGAGATGGGAGGCAGAGATGGAAAAATGTGAAGAAGCTTGTGTTCCAGTCAGCAGAAAAATATCAGAAAGATCTTGTAACTCAATGTGGAAGGTGAAGGCCAACTCCTGAAGTTATATTCTGACCTTCATTCCTGTCTACACACACACACACACACACACACACACACACACACACACACAAAAATGTACCTGTGTGCACAAACACATACATATATCACAAATTGTCTAACTTAAAAAATGACCACAACACAAGAGTATTTAGAAGACATTTAACACAAGAGTCATAGCTCATGATCTGATCCCTTTACTTCAAGGGCTAAGACTGCTTCAGGCCATGTTTCTATCCTAGTCAGAAGGAAACTCACCACTGCCTATACAATAGAAATCCAGTAGACACACTCTTCAAAATTACAATGTAAACAATCATTTTCTTATGTTCTACCCCAAAACAGACCATATCTACCAGAAAACACCCGCATAGACCCCCAAGAACTCAAATACATACATAACCACAAACAACATATATTTCTCTAACACAAAAATCAAACACAAACATCAGGGCCATACAGTCAAGTAAACTCTTCAAGAATTCAGTACTGAATAAGCACAAAGAGGATCTCTGAGCTATCAATACACTCAGACACTCTAAATATACACACTCTCCAAAACCATGAATTGATAGCCAAACACTCAGAGAAATATAGAATGCAATATATAATCACCCATGCATGGAAACTTACACCAAGCACCAAAGCAAACATAAACACACACACACACACACACACACACTATATTGACTAATTTCTATACAATAACTTATATACATGCAACTCTCATACACATAGACAAAACATTTTCAGTACCTGGATGAATACTATAGTAACATAGTTTTCAATATTCTTTACCTATAAAACACAAACCTCTGAGCCCATCCTCCAAACATACCCATGAGCACTAGAAACACCATCATTAACCAAGTTGATGTATAAACCAATGTATATTTATACACTGTGATCTGAATGAGAATGTTCCCTACAGGCTCAAATGTTTGAACACTTGGTCCATAGTTGGTGGCGCTGTCTGGTGAGATTTAGGAGGTACAGCCTTGTTGCAGGAAGCATGTCACTGGAGGTGGACTTTGAGAGTTTAGACACTATATGTCATTTCCAGTTCAGTCTCTATGAATTGTGCTTGTGGTTCAAGATGTGATGGCTCAGATTCTTCCTGTTCCTGCTCCATGCCGCCATGCTTCCCTCCCCCCATGATGGACTCTTACCCCCTGCAACTGTAAGTCCAAATAAACTGTTTATTGTATAAGTTGCCTTGGTCATGATGCTTTATAAGTAATTATAAGTGACACAAAAGTAATTAATGCATATAACAAATGACCTCTTTTTCAATGAACAAATATACTGGTCTCATGTACTCACAGATAGATACATACAACCAGTGTAAATGCCCAAGACAGAGATATATCACCCATATAACATTTAACTCACAAATACAAACCATCTGCTGATCCAGAATTATCTCTGTCTGCTAGAAACCACTTCCTACATCATCAACACTAACTCATAACCATATTATAAAACCCAATGCAGCAAACAGTTGCCACACATTTGCCTATGAAATGTACACTCTCACCTATCCATCAGATATACACATCCTTGGTTATCTGCTGTATATACTAATTCTTCCCTACTTACCATGTGTAGAGCATCAGAAAACCTTCATCCAAACTGTCTTGACGTTCTAGTAAACATTCTGTTGTCTAAATATTATCTATACAAAAATCTGGACATAGAAAACAAACATTCACAAGCCATATAAGAAAATATAAACTCCATACTCATGGATTTCTCCACCAACATCAAGCATTAATCATATAACACTACAAATGTGCAAATACATCTGCTCACAAATGTGCAATCTCACCACTTGCATAAATGAGATGATGCACTTTGAATACCCACAAATAAATAAATTCTCCATCTGCCAAATACAGAACCACATGAACCTGACAATACAGGTGTACATATCCATTCTACAAATCCCCTCTCCCCCAAAAAACTGGTCACACACCTGCCTTTGCATGCTAAAAATACAGTAAACAAATCCCATAACCATCCACGGCATTCCAAATATACAAATAACCCTACATTTTCCAAATAATAGTCTCCCTTTTGTATTGCCGCATAAACATGCACAATTTCTTAGCATTGTCCACATGCACTTATTTCTTGCCCAGTGTGAATACATTTCTTCCAGACTCCACCACAAACAAAAATACCTCAACTTTCAAGGGAAAGAAGAAAGAAAATATTCTGAAACTCAAATTACAGATACCTAATCCCAAATCCAAGGTTATCTAACATTGTCTAAATACAATAAGCTCCACACACTATCAAAATCCCCTAATTACAAATATCTAAACAAACACTGCCACCCACATGAGAATACACACATTAGATTCTCACTACTCATAATGCAAAACTACAAATTCATACATTATTCCCAATCTTATGTCCTAAAAATTATACAACAAATTATAATACTCTTGAGTTTCTCCCCCATGAGGTCAGCAAGCACACCACCACATCACACACAAGAATAATCACCACCACAATTCTCATTCCAGAAATTAAAACACTTTTCCACCTTCTCAGTCTGATATCACACACACGTGTGCACGCATGCACACACACACACGATTACACAACAGTCACATACAATTTAAAAATGAAATGGTCTTTGTTGTAAATTTCTTTTACTCATCTGATTTTCACACAATGTTTCTTTTGATTATTGCAACTCTTAAGGTCCAAAAGGAGATACAAGGCTGAATTTTAAAGACCAGTTATTCAATTGTGAAAAGTCACTAACATCAATAGCAATTAATGGAGCTACAAGACTACAACATGAAGGTTGTATTTCTGGCTGATATTTACGCTTATATGTCAAAAGTTTGCCCATTTTTTCAACAACTTGAGAAATTTGTTTGCTCAACTGAATAATGCTTTCCAAAACGTAGGAAGCTTCCTGAGAATGTAGGAGACACAACTGAGTACACTGTTAAAGTTCACACCTCATTTATTAACTCTGCCCATCCACTCCCAACACACACATCATAAGCCAGACAGCCTACAGAATGATGAGAAGAAGCACTGGTCTGGGCACTTGCCAATGCTAGTGATGTAAAAACTCCCAGGCTTCAGGCCAGCCTCGGGAGGGCACTCAGTCATTCAGGGTCACACTGCCTGCAAGATACGAGGAACTAACAGTCAAGGGTCAGCGACAGTGATGACTAAATGCCCAGGAAGTTAGACGCGACTTTCCGTTACCTATTTCTCTGTAACGGACTCTGGACGCCGCCATATTCACCAAACGTTAAGAGGCATGCTCGCTCCAGTATCCTCCATGCTCGCGCCAGCGCGCTCGTGCCCCCTTCCACACTTGTGTCTGAGCGGGCGCACAACGGACGGATGGATGCAGGGAGCAGAGGGAGGCTGGAGGAGCTCGCGCTGGAACTCCAACTGCATGCGCAAACAGGAGCGCTCAGGTGAAGCCTAGAGCTTTGCAGGAGAAGAAAAGAATGCAAGAATGCATGTGGAGCGCGGCCCTCCTCCCGCCCCGCCTCCTCACAGAACCTGGGCAGCCATCCCTCCTTAAAAGCAGGGATTACAGACCTTCCACCTATACATTTAGCATCCTCTCCCTAAGCTGCTGAAGAGGTCTGGCTCCTTCTGCACCCAACGCTTTGGATGGAACTGGACTCCTTTGCACCGTTCAAAGAACAGTATGTCCTCTCCCATACTTTATGAAAGCTCCCACTAGGAACACTTGCAGCCAGAATCAGACCCAGGAGACACTCTTGAGACATGATTTACCTAGACTCAGCCTCTAGGTCCTTTCTAGAACATCCACTGTGTTAGATGTCCTATTTCACAAGGAGAGCTCTGCTAATAAATGTCAATTCAGAAATGTTTCCTGTGAAATTGGTGTCACCCTCCCTTTAATTGAGACTTGATAGTCTGGGTCCCTCTGAACCTCTCCTCCTGTCCCAAACCTCTGCCACCACAGGAGTACTGCTGACTCCTACTGGGAAGGCAGTGCTTGTACCCAGCAGCTTCTGTGGCAGGACTCTGGGTTCCCACTCCATGTCCCTCCCCAACCATTTCCTAACAACCCTTCTTGTCACAAGATGAGGTGCAATATTAACTTAGGAACCAGACAAGCTTTCTCTAAAGGGGTGCTACAGCCATGCCCCCACACAGAAAGGCACCTGTCCCTTCAGTTATGATGCTGTATCATCATCAGAAAATATCACAAGTCAAATGCATGTTTAATTATCAAACCTTGAAGCATTGGACTTAGCATGACCCACCTTATTCATGCTCAGAACAGACACTATCCTATAATGGAGCAAAATCATCTAATGCAAAGTTCTTTGTATGAGAGAGTATAGAATATTTCATGCTTCTGAAAGCCTGCACTTGTTGTCTTCCCAGTTGGTGTCAAAAACTTCCAATATGCAAGATGCAAACAACTTACCACAGTGTAGAACATTTGGGTCTTTTACCCAACATGCAATGTGATGCCATCTCGAGTTTGTGCAATGGTCATACAAATGCAAATATTATTTGTTGTGAATGCCTATGGCTTTAGCATCCTAACATTAACAAACTCCTAAGGTAAATTCTATTAAGTCAGAGATGCAACCAGGAAACATGATTCCAAGGACACCGGCATATAAAAAACCAAGATGGAAACCTACAGCTAGTGAATCCAGGATCATATTGGAGCTAGGAATGAGGTGGATGCATGCACACACAGAAATCAGCATTGGGCAATGGTAAATGGAATCCTGGTTTTGTCAAAATGGACACAGGTTATGGGTTTCTACGCCTGGAAAATCGGGGCCCTGAGCCTCTGCGTCTTGGAGTAGAAGAATGTTTTCTCTCTTCTTGTCCCTCACATTTAACCCTGTTTCTATTGAGGAGCTCAGAAGGGCCAATTTGTTGCATAAGCCTACACATTATTTTTTGTGGTAGAGAACAGATTTTTAATTGTCAAATATCTGTTGCAATAAAAGGACTCAATACTAATGATCCAAAGAGAAGTGATTTCACTTTTGAGTCCTGTGGGCTACTTAAACTGAGTGGCACCTTGACAGGCTGGGAGTCTAGCAAAAGGGGATAGTGACTGGGACTATCGTGCTGCAGGGCGCAGACATCCTAGCCCTCACTGTCTGAACACACGGCATGCACACGGGAGGGAGACCCATGGATCTCCCAAGATCATAATTTCAAATACGTCCCGCTCTGTTGCTTAGACCCTCTATGTTTGTCTGAATATATGCTCTAACTTGTTGAGTAAGTGTAAACATTGTCAGCACGCTCAGGAGCCTACCCTCTGTAGGAGCAATGCGTGACTCGGGATGGAGGAATAAAACAAGGACTACTAGGGATGAAATGAAGGAAAAGGGCCCCAGTGGCCCCAGTGTGCTGTGTGTAGAGGAAGCCATTACACTTTCCCTAGAGGCCAACACCAGGCATGTGCGCTCACCTACAACAAGGGTGCATCATTTGAACTGACCCCAGGTTCTCATGCACCTGCCACAACCCCTCACGGAATGTCCCCAGCCCTGTTCCACTCTCTGCCCCTCCCCCGCTGTAGAATGTTCAATGCCACATTCTGGAGCTGTTTGCTTTCAAACTTTTCAAAGCTGTGGCTGGCTCTCTTGAGCATCTGTCACATAGTGGCGACTCTCGGCGTGATTCGTCTGAGTTTTCTCACCATGGATCCTAGCAGACAGGCATGGTTACTGTCCAAGACTGTGGGGATAACTTCAGAAGGTAAGCCTGGAGTATCAGAGCATGGGATCTGAGTCCCTGCCACTGGCAATTTAAATCTGGTACTAGCAACGACTGACTGGACCCAGGGAGGGGGTAGGAGACAGCTCTGGACTTCTGCAAGGATATCTCACCTTGGACGATGACAAAGCCTCTGGCAGCATCAACAGAGTCCATGGTGGAGCTAAGTTGACACAAGGAAGCACACTTGACCCGGAGATAGAATGACAGGCCTCTTCCCGTGTGGCAGGCCGGTCTCCTAAGCGCAGGTTATAGCTGTGGTGGGATGGTTCACTGTAGTGGCCCAGGGAAGGTTCATGGGGAACAACTGAGCTCTGGGTCATTTCTTCAGGCTGCAGGAACTTGCGCTGTGAAATTATGGATCTCAGGAATTTAAACGGGCCACCCCAGACCTTAGGAGGACAGTGCAGACAGATGGCCAGGCAGGAAACAGCTCATGGGGTCCTCTCTGTAGGGATGGAGGTTACTCTATCAACTGGCAGCCCAGAGTCCCTCACGCCTTCCCACTGAGGGAAGGCTTCTCCATCACCAGGTAGTCTTCAGAAGCAGAGCAGTCAGGAAACGTCAACTAACAAACAAATGGGCGATTGCTCTCCAGTCTGAGACCTACTTGTTATGATAAAGCTTGAGGTGGTCCTTGGCGGATTCCATGGCAGTCGAGGGTGACCGAGGCAGAGGGACAAACATGCCAGGCAGACGGGGCTTTGTGAAAGTTTTATTAGGAAGGAGGGTGGGAGAAAAGAGGTAAAGAGACACAGACACACAGAGACAGAGAGATAGAGAGAAGACAGAAGAGAAGAGGGAGACAGGAAAAGTCCTGTCTGCCCCAGGGGAACAGTGGGAAAGAGAGAGAAAGAGATTGGGAATGAGAGAGCCGAAAGACAGCGGGAAAGAGAGGAGCCGGAAAGAGATTGTAAGCGGGCGGAGGTCTTTCTTTTAAAGGGGTCCTTTGTGCCTGGGCTGACCAGGGCACTGCCTGAGTGCGTTCTGCCAGGTGACAGGGGCAGGCCAGCATAATGCCTTAATCCTTCACACTACTTTTAAAAATATCAGTTTAGAGGTGTTGTCTTGGGACTATGTGTGCAGTTCCCTTAGCCTCTCTTCCCTGACCCAGCTTTCTCTGGGGGAAGGGACCTGGAGCGCTGTTGGTTTGGTCGGGTTCTGAGGTGGTTGGATCCTTTTCCTGAGGCTTTTGACAGAAGCGCTTGTCTTGGAACATGTTCTGTGTTACTGTTAAGCAGAGCTAGGACATGTGTCCTGGCCATCATGTACAGGCCTTTTGGACTTGGCTTTCTTTGAGGGGTGCTACTTAACGATAATAACTTCAAACAACTGCATCCCACCTGGCACCTGGCTCATGACTATACCACCCCTAAAAGCATTCTTTTGTATTGGTGGGAGCTCACAAGTAAAGGACCACATGTGGTTTCCACTTCATGGCCAACTGTGACAATGCCAGTGACTGTGGCAATCCCCAGAAACCCCCTGACAGGCCCTCCACTCACCACTGCTGGGCTCCCAAGGGCAGGGTGCCAGGGAACTGCATGGTTGTCTTACAAGCCAGTGCCGTGCGAACAACTCCCAACCATGGTGGGGTCAGTGACAGTCAGGGCAGTGTGGGGCTGCCAGCATCTTTCCCAGTGCTGCTTCCTGGGGGAGGCATTAGGAGAGGAGCAGCAGCATGGGTAGGACATGATACAGGGTCACCTCCAGGATTCCAGGTTGCTGGCTTGGAGGAGAGCACAGAGATGCTTTTGGTTTGCAGTGCTGGGCTAGAAAGAGAGGGGGTCTGAGAGTGTGGAAGGAACACTCGGAAGGAGATGAGGTCAAAATATTTGAAACCTGCCACCTTTACAGAGGCCCTTTGGGAAACTGACCCTCATTGATGGTGCCTTGCCTCCTGCGAGCGTCATTACTGGGATGGTGGTCCAGACAGTCAAACTGACCCATCTCTAGGGAGAGAGCTAGAACACTGATGCGTTTTCTGCCAAGGATTACCCAAGAGAGTCTCTCAGTGGTGGAAAAGCTGAGGCCTCCTCTCTACAGTAGCAATCAGGGAATGTTGGTGAATGAAGAGGAAGACCCCTGCTGGAACAGTGCTCAGCCAGATGAACCCAGCAGGGAATTCCCTACAGGACATCCGCAACCAGTACAATCTCCTCTTCCCCATGACCCTCCCCCAATTTCTGCTGCCTACCAGGACCAGGGAGTTGCCCTCCTATCCCCCTTTATCTTTCCCCTTTATCTTTCCAGCATCTTCACTGGGACAGAACGTGACCGTCAGCCCCGGTGCCTCCATGTCTACATTTGCTAGTCTGCCTGTTCTCCCACCTGCCCCCCAACCAGCACCCCAGTTATTCTGGGAGCCCCCAGCACCCCTCATGACTGCAGGCATCTCTCCCCGGAACCCTCTAGTGTTATCTGCCTTGCCTGGGATGGCTTTGGTGGCGGAAGATGGAAGTACTACCCTGGGTACAGCTGTACCTCTGAACATTGTGCAAGTTGGGACACCAGGCAGGCCTGTACAGCCCATGCACAATGCCAACATTGTCCTCACTCAGGTGCCCCTCAATTGTAATGTCCCTGTGACCCAAGGTGGGGGTGTGGGGCGCCCTGCTTCACTCTTCAT